TGTGTGTGTGTGTGTGTGTTAATTCTTTATTTTATCCTACGCGTATCGATCAATTTTGATCGATTTTGATCGATTTCGAACGAATTAGCTCAAATTAGCGACATAAATGCTATCACATTCTTTATCTTGTTTTTTCTTCCTTTGTCCTTTTTCACTTCCATCATGAAAATTGCTTTTGACAATTCATCTCATTAAAAACGCTTAAGTCTATAAATTTCTTAGCTTACCACGTCGATAACCCGATTTACGTGATACTCGATTTAACAACACCGGTTTCGAACTGAACACAGTCGACAAAAATTGTAAACCGGTTTTATTTAGCACGATTCTAAACTTGATTTTCATCCGACATTATATTATCCGGGATATTTGAATTTTGGCGCCATTTTAGAAACTTCACAATATCAATTTTAATTTATTACGTATGTATATACTAATTCTGAAACAATCCGATTTTTAAGGAATTCAAAAAGTATAATATACAAAATGTATACAAACAATTTATAAGCTAAAATGATTAACAACTATTTTTTTGGTTTTAACTTTTTATACCTAAGCTTGATGCGCAACACTTTTAATATTTAAAATAAATCTTCTTGATCATCTTTTTTGCGTAAATAAGTACTTTAAAGTGCAAAACAAATAAAGCAATAAATATTTATACAAATAACCTCATAAAAACATAATATAAATACTATTATGTAATACATATTTCAATATACAATGTATGCATAAGTATACATATTTATGTTACAATAAAAAAAAAAAAAAAACTACAGAAGAAAATCTTATTATGCATACAAGAAACGTGTTTTTTTTTTTTTTTAAATTCCACCTTAGTCTCGATTATCCGTTGAACCTCGATTCATTCGCGTCGTTTAATTCCCCAGGTCACTCTTGTTAATCAAGATCCTACTGTATACTATGATACATAGTATATAATAAATGCTGTATATAATACGTTTAAAAAAAAAAAAAAAGAAAAATATATATACCATAAAACAAAATTTTCGTTCAGAAATCGTTCACGTTCGGTAAGTATCGATGTTCGTAGCCGATGGGGTGTGCCCTGTGTGTAAAACCTGTTGGTTTGCCTTCCTTCTTCCTTTTTAAGGCAGGACAGGTGTCGGTGAGTGAGCTTTCGAGTTTGGGTTAGCATAGAAAGAGAGAGAAAAATAAAGAAAAGGTTATAACCATGCTTAAAACGATATAAATGGAAATGTTCGCGAAGAAATTACACGTACATACATCGACGAAAACAATAAACTTCCAAAAGTGTACCCTCTTCTTCCGAGAAATGTTTTTTACCTTTAAAAATACATACCATTGGAAATGATTTGAATTGACCAATCGAAAGAGAGCGCGGCAAACACGAAAAGGAAACACGTTTTAATTAGAATCTACTGAATTTACGAAACGAAACAACTAATTTTCTGCTAACGCGATGTTTGCATCATTGCAACATTATTATTTTCAACAATGACTCATGCAGTCCTACTTTTTTTTTTTACTTTTTCTTTTTAGAACGATCGTGAGATTTTCTTTATAACGAAGAACTTTACCTTTGATAATGACATTTTTTTTTCCTTTGCAAACGTTGCAATAGATCTTACAGTAAATTAGAAAACAAATTAACTATTCCAGCAAGTGAAACACCAAAGAATTCGTTCCGCTAAACGTGACGCATAGTTTAAAATGTAACTACAAAAATGTTACACCATCCTTGTCGTCCTCGTCTAAGTTGTCGTCGTTGTCGTTGTCGTCGTTGTCATGCTGTGACTTTAAAACGATAAACGAGCATGTATACATACATGCATATACATATATATGTATGCACGTGTGCATGTGTATGTGTGGGGCACAAGTTTCTAGGTGCACTGAACTCGGATCGCAACGACGACGTAATAGCACATATATATATATATATATATAGTTATGTATACTATTCATACGTATGTGTATATATATGCATACCTACAATAGGTTCTACAAATCGATAAGATAGCTATTACCTATTTGAAAAATGACATCTTTTCTAGAAAATGTCTTAACAACTAATGACCATCATTTTCTCTCTTCGTGAGAGAAACGAAAATAACACAATAAAAATCGATTAAGAAAATAAAGAAACAAGAAGAAGTAAAAAAAGGAAAAGAGAAAAAATAAAACGACACATCGCAGTTTCGTTCCCATGAGAATCAGAATAGAATATATCAACAGCGTACAAAATATGGCCGGTGTTGGCTTGTAACCATAGGTCAGTTCTAAGAACTACTACCAGAGTGCAGCACCCACTTGATCGTGGGAGGGCGTTATTAGTGCCATCTAGTGGTACTCGGGGAACACCCAAAGTAGTTTATGCGATAAGAAAGTATTAAAAAAAAAAAAAAAAGATGATTAATCAATTATCTCTTTCCTTAAACAATAATATCCATTAATAAAAACATAATAAAATGGTATGAAAAAATGAAAAAAAAAAAACAAAATCTTACCTTTTTGTTATTTCCTCATTTTATCAAGCGACGGCATTCAAATCTCTACCGCCGTTAGCCAACCTCCAACCGACAGGTAGCGGGTTTGTGTCTTCTATTTCACAATAACACGTCACTTGTCCTTTCACGACGAACACACCTAATCGATTATGATACCTTATCGTTACTAGTTCACTCACTATATATTAAGATAATATTATATTCTTAACACTTGATAGGATTTTCACGTACAAAATTCACGTCAATTCCACAGTAACGGCATGGCATGGCGACGGCCGACACAACTCGTCATATAGCGCTTTAAACGCTACGTCACACACCCATAGTCAACACCTGATTGGTTACCTTGTGGTACAATTTGGCGCGAATTTTATCCACGCGCGGGAAAATATTGTTTTGGGTTATGTTCTTCTCTGTGTAAGGTAATATATATATATATACACATATGTATGTATAATTATTTCTAATTATTTTAAATTATTTCTATGGAAACATTCATTATCATTTGTTGATTTATAATAAAAAAAAAGAAAAAAAAAATGAAAAAGAAATAATCCTTGTTATAGTATTGCAAATATTTTTTAACTAGAAGCGAGAGATTATTGGTAAGAGGTCATTCGTTCTTACTTGCGAAATATTAATCAGCTTATTATCTTTTTTCTTATTTACCAAGTCCAATTTTATAATAACGTTTTACGTAACACGTAATAACACGTAAATAAATTTCTTGAATCAAATATATGTAGAAATATTTACTCATCAAAATCACTTGGATGTTTCGTTAACTTCCGAGAATAGAAGCATAAACTACGTAAACCATAGAAATGTTATAAAGATAATATTTAAAAAAATTTTAGATTGAAATATATTTATGAGAATTTTTTTTTAATTATGGTAATAAAAATAATATCATTTAAGTATATAAAAAATTCTAAACGATTTAAAATATATACAAAAATAAATTTAATAATATAATTGAAAATTTGTACATGATTGGCTAAGTTTTTAAATCGTTCAATAAGTTGACCACTGAATGATTGGTTACGTTCTTTCTTATCTCTAATTGATAAAATCGCATTTTATTTTTACATTTGCACATTTGTGCATTGACGATAAGGAGTTTTTTAAAGGGAGTTTCTTAACTTATCATCATTCATGGCTTTTAATACGAACAATGATGACGCAATATCGTCTGATCGTTAGCAGCGTTGTGATTGGTTGTTTTACAAGTCGGATGATTATTGTCATTTTTTCAGTTTATTGCGCTTGACGTACTTCTGATTCTAATATTATAGATTGTTTTAATTGAGCAACTAATAATTAAAATAGTATTTAATAAAATGGCTGATCCAGGGGGATGGCCAGCTACGCAAGAAACGGATTTTTCATTTCAAGAAAACGAAAACTTTAATTTCAATGAAAATCTTGAGATAGACGGTAAGTTTTGTTTATTTCGGCTTGAATTTTTTTATTTATATGCAAGTAATAATTCATTTTTCATCAATATCATCGATTAAAAATTTTAATTTTTATTTATAATTAATAAACAAATATTTAATTTGATTTTTTATCCTATGACAACATAAAAATTAACATAACTTTAAAGATCTTAAATTTCATTCATATTATTCTTTATTATTTTTTCTTTTTTTCTATAATTATTATATGTATATATAAAATTATTAATATGACCTTGTTTGAATTACAGATTTGCTTACAAATTGTGATTTTTTAAAAAGTGAAATCCCCTATAGTGATGGAACAATTTCTCCTTCATTAAATGAACATATGCCTATAGGTGAAAATATATTTGAAATTTTTAAACAGGATATTAGTGATGACTGTGAGGATTTCAAAGATTTAGATATATTGGAACAAACACCAAATACTAAAAATATTTTAACACCACCAGAAACGATACTTAACGAGCAACAAATTCTGTCTGTTCAACAAGATGTATCATCTGTACAAACTAAAGCACATAAAATACCTGTAGTACCACCAGTATTTAGTTCACAATACACTATACCACAGAATATGAACATTAATGCTCAGTCTCCAGTAGTTACTTTCACACCAGTTACACAACAAAGACAATTATTTTTACCTGCTAAAATATTAAAGTCAGACAAAGTCGTTTATTCCAATAGAGCGCAAACTATCACATCTAATTCTGTACCGCATCAAATACATACCATAGTAAAAACTCCAAATGGAACAGTATTAACTACTGGTAAGTATTTCAAATAAAAAAGAAATTGTCTTTAAATTGTCAATTAAAATATTTAATTAATTTTCATTTTCTTTTAAGGTATTCCTGTAGTCTTAGATGGTGATAAAGTTCCGATAAATCGTTTAAATTCTAACACTCAAATTGGCGTACCAAGGGTTAGAGAAGTTAAGCGTAGTGCTCATAATGCCATTGAGCGACGTTATAGAACATCTATTAATGATAAAATTACTGAATTGAAAAATATTGTTGTTGGCTGTGATGCCAAGTTGAACAAGTCAGCTATACTGCAGAAAACAATTGATTACATAAAATTTCTTAAGAATTCTAATGCCAAATTGAAAGCGGAAAACATGTCACTTACGTTTGCAAACCAAAGACAAAATTTACGCGATTTATTGGCAATTGGTGAATTAACGCCACCACGTTCAGATTCTAGCGAACCATCACTATCTCCAGCTTCGGCACAGTTATCTCCAGCTTCACCTTCATCTATAATGGAAGAACCAGATGCATTACAAAATATTCATACAGTAAATAAACAAGAAGTAGGAATGAGAGATCACACCAGGTTAACATTATGCGGTATCATGTTCATGTTTTTGATATTTAATCCTTTAGGCACTATTTTGAATAGTGTAGAAAAGTTTAATTACAAGTATTTAAGTACAAAGGTGGATGGACGAACTATTCTTGATTTTCAAGGTAAATATAATAAACATTTTACGTTCTCAAAATATTATATATAATTCAAATTGTTTTCTTATAATATATTTTTTTCTACTTAGAATCTACCGAAACAGATAACAGATTATGGAATAATATATTTCTATGGTTTACAAATATAATCCTCTTAATTGGTGGCTTATGTAGATTATTTTTATACGATGATCCAATTCTCCCAGCAGATAGTAAAATACTTTTGGAACTTCGTCGCTGGAGACGTCAAGCAGAATTTAATATATCAAAGCAAGAATATAGCCAAGCTTACAGGGATTTACATAAATGTTTAAAATATTTTAATCGTTCGTTTCCATTATCTCGTACTGAAATTGTTCTCGTGACTACTTGGCAAGCGATACGACAAATACTTCATAAACTGTGGCTTGGAAAATGGGTTCTTAATTTAAGTAAATACTTTATTGGAAAATCAGAAAGGCAACAAGCTAAATTGTCAGCTATGGAGTTAGCTATTGTTTATCAGCACATGTTGTGTTTACATTTATCTGAAGGACCCAAAAATGGTACACTTTATCTTGCTTTTTCTGCTATGAATTATGCTGAAATTGCGGATGAAAATATGCCAAAAGCACTGTTGGCAGAAATCTATATTAATGCGGCATTATGTTTTAAAAAGTATCTTTTCCCATTTATTCATAAATATTATTTGGGTAAGGCACGAATGTTATTATTTTCGTGCACTGTACCATCTAAATTAAAATGGATCATGAACGATGAAGGTGCAAGATTTGTAGCCACACAAAAATGGCAATATGGTGTACAATCAGATAGCGAGTTTACCTCTCAAAATAATAAAGCAGATCCTTTATCATTCGCAGCACGTGCTTATAGAGAACATTTGATTACACAATGTTTAAAATTATTAACTGGCACTGCTGGAGATTCACATGCATCTACCGTATTGGAATTGGCACGAAATATAATAGCTTCTACAGAAGTAGATATTTGTTTTCCAAGTACGGATAAAATCAGTGTAGCAGGTATAGAAATTTTAATTAATAAATATTACCTAAATTAACATTTTATAGATAACAATCTTTATTATATGTTACGAAGATGAAATTGGTCTTTGGTGGGGAGCAGTTATTTGTGCTGCAGCAGCATGGAGATTAGGAGACGAAGATGAAACTGTTTGGAATATTATAAAAAATAAATTTCCTTATGAAAAAAATTTTCAACCGTGTAATAACAGTAATCGTAGTCCATTGCCATACGCCGTCTTTAACGTTTTGCAAGCAGCTAAACATTCTTCTAAAATAGTTTCAATGCGTTTAATGGATCAGGCAGGAATATTGTTAGAAAAATCCATATGCTATTATCATTGTAAACAACAGTTGTCTCCAAATGTTATGGTAAGCTTTATCTATATGTATATATAGTAGGTATCTTTAGATAAATCAAATTAATAATCTTATTCACATTTAATAAGATTAATAATGATAAAAAATATTTCATTTCTCTATCTGTGCGCACTGTTTCTTTTGAAGTATGCTTACCTGTTACGAGTGTGCATTGTAGTTGCATTGCGTGAAATACAACTATGCAATACTTCTACAGTGCAACTCCTGTGGCAGGCCAAAGTACCGTGTGATAATTATTATATATATATATATATGTATATATATATGTATAAACAATCGATACCTTATATCTAATATTTTTTACATTATATTAATGCAATAATGATGTACTATTTATATTTTTACAGCTTACACAATTATGGCTTTGCGATTGGTTATTAGAGATGCGTACTATTTTATGGCAAGAATTTGATGGAGGATTAGAAAAACCAATTAGTAATGCATTTCTTACTAATTTTCAAAGAGATTTAGCATGCTTAAGGCAATTATGTCAACATATGTCAGTAAGTATCCGTCGAACCAAATAATATAGGAATCTTGTTTTATCTTGTCCCTATAGAATGATGTATTTCAAACTTAATTGTTTTTAGTGTATACTACCAAGAGTATTCTTATACGAAGCTACAGTACGTATTATGGCAGGAGCGGCACCAGTAAAAACTCAGACTTTATTGGACCGTAGTTTACATCATAGAAATTCACGTTCATCTATTATTTGTGGAAAAGATAGATCCCAAGAACAAAACAACGGCGAAAGAGAACATGCATTCGCATTGTGCTTAGCATGTAAACATTTACCAACCTTATTATTGTCTTCACCGGGTGAACGTGCCGGTATGCTTGCAGAAGCTGCTAAAACTTTTGAAAGAATTGGTGATAGGAAAAGACTTCAAGAATGTTACAAATTAATGCATCAACTTGGTCCAGCTATTTCTGTTAATTAATTTTACTACTTATTATATTATATTATATTTATACAACATTATATTCATATTAAATTATTATATTTATAATATATGAATATGTACATCGAATGTAATTGACGTCATTTTATAATCATAAATGTATAAATTGTACAATTAGGTTTAAAAATATAAATATAAATATATTATTTTATGTGTATATATGTACATATACATAAAAATTGTATATTGTGATTATAATTAATTAAAAACATACCTAAGCTCTTGTCGATTCCGAAATACTTAATCTTCAAAGGTAAAATTTTCTATTAATATAAAAAGAGTGATTACTTTTTAAAATATATGTATAAATGCATTTCTGAAGGCACACACATGTTTATACATTAGAAATTAAATATAATTATCTCAAATTCTATTATAATATAACTATACTATATATATTATCAAAGAATATATCATATACTATTATATACTATCAAAGAATACTGTATGCTTTGGTTATATGCACCATGGTTGTTTACTTATGCAGAAATGCATTCATTCATCACAGCTACGACAACGGTACTGCGCATGCTCAATAACGCATTTAGTTCCCACGAATAAACGTAGATAGCGCTACTAGTTCATTGCAGATGCATTAGTCAATATTTATTATCGCAGTTGCGTTTAGTTGCATTTATTGATAAAATCTTAATATCTCTAATCAAAGATATAAGTTATAATCAATTTAAACATGGATTCTCTCTCCGATACCGAATTAGGAGAAGACGAGGAAGATATTCTTGTATACGTCGAATTCGAAGGATTTGTTAATAATAATATATTTTCAAATGGAGAACTGCAATTAGATATGATTGGAATAGATACAGACCATCCTATAATGCAAATTGATGGAAGGGTATGTTATTTATAGGTTATTCCTTTCATATTAAAAAAATTAAATTTATATGTTATTTTATTTATATTTTTATTACTGTTATTTATATCATTTTAAATAATTTATCGATAAAATTTTTCTTTTTATAGTTTTATGAGGGTACTTATGAGGATGCTGTAGGAACTTACATGTTTTTTGATAAAGATGACCAACCGGTGATCAATGATCCCGTGTTTGATCAAGTTCCAACTTTAAAATATTTTGGAAAGACTAGAAAGGTATTAAAAATGCAGAGAGTATTTGTTAAGCAAAGGGTAGAAGTTCTCGGTGATTCTGAGCATAGTAAATGTATTCCAAATATTGATACGATTAAAGAAGCTGGCATTCCACCTATGTATCAATCACAAGGTATTTTCAATCAAATTTATCTTAGCACATTTGTGAGCGATAATATGATTTTAGATTATTTCAAATTCTTTAACCGAATATTAACAATGTAGTTTTACGTTATTTCAAAATTTATAACTAAATGTGATTGGAATTTCTTCTCCACTATGTTATTGCAAATTGATTAATTTGTTTGCATTAAAAGTAATTGGTATTTAGTTAAACGTATTTTCCAAACAACACTTGTAGACGATGTGTTAATAATAGAAATTGTATATGTGGACAGTTTATTTTACCATTTAATTTTGATTTTATTTTATATAGCACTTTCCTTTTGGAAGAATATAAGAGATAAAAGAATAGATGCTTTATGTGCCTATTTGGAAAAACAGAAGATTAGAGAAGAAAAGAAGTCACAGGGTATTGCGCTAGATTCAGAATCTGATGAAGATAATCCATTCGCTATGTACAAGTATAAAAAGGAAATGAAAAGTGAACAAAACTTGGAAAATTCTAACATCAAATCATCAGTGGATGTAATTAATTCTTCTACAAGTAAAAAAAATTCTCCAAAAGAAGTTATGGATAATGTATCTGAACATATTCATTCTAAACCATCTACTTCAAAAACTAACGATCTCTTTGCTAAGATAAATAATAAAGTACGCAGACCTACTAAAGTAGTTAATAGAAAGAAAGTATATATTAAAAGTAAATCGACAAAAAAACAGAAAAAGAAATCAAAAGTGGTGGAAGATGAATTTATTCAAAATAATGATGATTTTAACATGAAATCAACATCTTTAATGGAGAATCAAATTTTTAATGATTCTGCTATGGATATTGAAGTGAATAATCTATCCGATATTATACAAGATAAAATTACAAATAATTCTGATGTGAAGGATAATGTACAGGCAAATAAAGATATTAATACAGATATTAGCACGGTTGAAACGGAAGTGAAAACAACTGATACTATACTTGATTTTGTAGAAAATACCATAGATAAAAAGCGTGCTAAGTTATTAAGGCGGGAGGCAAAAATGAAAGAGATATCGGAAAAATTGAAATCTTTTGTAGAATGTGCCAAAATGAATACAAATCAGTGACAAGGTATAATTACAAGTAACACATAATTTAATAAATAATTCCGCTTGATAATTTATTCAAAATCTACTAAAATTGATCTTTCAGCTTTAAGAAAGATTATTTTATTGTATTGATTAAAAACATAATTAAAAATTATCGTTAAATATGAAATACTGCACTGCACTAGCCAATAGTTTAAGATAATATAATGGCTTTATATATATATATATATATATATATTTTTATATATATATATAGCTAAGAAAATAAAAATGATATAATATTCTTGCTTGTGAAATTAGGAAAAATAGATTGAAGATTTGCATTGGAAAAAAGGATCCAATATCCTCTTAGTGAAATAATGGATTGTCCAATGTATAACGGATTCACCAATCTAAATCGCCAGGTAGTTCGTCAGGATATTCTCCTGTCAAGCAAGCAGTGCAGTGACCAACATAACTGCTTTCTTTATTATCCATATTGTGTCTAACAGCTTGAACAAGTCCTTCCACAGAAAGGTATGTCAAACTATCAGCGCCAACATGCTTGGCTAATTTTACATTGTCAAGCTTATTAGCAATTAGTTCTTCTCTCGTTGGAATGTTAATCCCCATATAACATGGATATTTTAAGGGAGGCGATGCTACTCTGATATGTACCTGCAAATAAATGTGTTTTTTTTATTTTTTTATAAATGTATGTATGTATGTATAAAGATGCAAATATTTTACTTCTTTTGCTCCTGCATCACGTAAAAGTTTTATGATTGGTCCAATAGTGTTTCCTCTAACAATAGAATCATCGATCAGAATTAATTTTTTTCCTTTTACGTTTTCGGATAAAGCTCCAAATTTTTTAGCAACTCCTAATTGTCTTAATCTTGTGCTGGGTTGAATGAATGTTCTTCCAACGTATCTATTCTTGCAAAGTACTTCAGCAAATGGTATTTGAGACTGTGAAATATGTGAATTAAATATGTATTTGATGTTAATTGTTTTATATTTTTTTTTATATAATATTAATAATTAAATTAGATAATTCACCTGTCTAGCATAACCATGTGCTGCTGCAGTACCAGATTCTGGTACAGAACTAACTATGTCAGCTTCTACCGGAGATTCTATTGCTAATACACGACCACATTGCATACGAACTGAATATACCATTTGTCCTATAAAGAAAAATACAAAAATGTATAAATTAACACTATTTTACTAAATTCTTATTCAAGATATTAATGTTAATGATGGTTACCTTCAAAAATACTGTCACTTCGGGCAAAGTAAACATATTCAAATATGCAAAATGCTTGTCGTTTATTCTTTGGTCTTTCTACAATGTCAATCGTTTTAATACCTTCACGAGTCAATTCAACAATTTCACCTGGAAAAACTTCCCGAACATATCTTGCACCAATGCTTAAGAAACCACAAGATTCTGACGAGATTACCCAACCTTCTGCTTCATCATCGTCATCCGATTCACTTGCAGCTAAATTTTTATAATACACAATTTAATAATTAGATGTATTTTTTGTAATATTAATGTTTATATACATTCAACATTACCAAGTTTGCCAACAGGTACTATTTTTCCTAAACACAAAGGCCTGTTTCCATATGGGTCTCTAACACCATAAATTTTATCTCTTTGCATGATTACTAAAGAATAAGATAATGGTGCTAAATGCATGAGATGTTTGATACGTGCTGGCCAATCAGGGCCATTAACTTCACCTTCAGGAGGATTTAAACATAAAGCTTGCGTTATCAATTCAGAATCCGAATACGTCGAAAGACCCACACCCCTACCTAATACCTAATTCAAAGTAATAGATAAAAGTTAAAATTAAACTCATAAAGTTATAGATTAAAGTCAAGGAAATAAGAGATCCAGTTTTAATTACCATTTTCCTTAATGATTCTGTATTTACAAGTTCTCCATTATGAGCAACTGCTAAGGCACCATGTGCTGTATGAACTACGAAAGGTTGACAATTGACTTCTTCGCTAGCTGCACAAGTGCTGTATCTAGTATGACCTATTCCTAAATTGCCTTTGAGTTTCTTCATGCTTTCATCATTGAAAATGTTATTGATCATTCCCATACCCTTATGAACATAAAACGATTTAGAGCAGACACCTTTACTTGTAACAATTCCAGCACTTTCTTGACCTCTGTGTTGCAAAGCAACTAAACCTATTGAAAAATGTATAGCTAATGTTATTCAATTTAATTTATTATACAAAATTCTTCAGAGTTAACTTACCAAGACATATCACTTGGCTTACATCAATTTGTGATGGCCAATCGCCTGCAGCAATGCACCCAAAAACACCACATTCATGTGTGAGTCCAGAAACTTCTTTATTTCTACCTTCTGATTTAGAAGTTGACTTTCTTGATACGTCATTTATTGAAAGACGAGATATTGCACGAGAACAACTTTCATCTTGCATATCCTGAGACATTTTTATATTTATCTATAATGAAATGATTCAAAGATTAATCTATAGCTTTGCTTCTTACGAGCCATATAATAAATTTATATAATAAACCTTAAGTGTTAGAATTTGTTAAACATCAACTTTTTTTTTAGTTACATTTAATCAATTCAATATTGTAAAAGTATTAAAGTATTCTCTCCTTTTATACGTCATCAATTTTACGTAATGTGTTTGCGAATGGAACAAATGTTGATATACATATGGACAAATATGAAGTAAATATTAATATCAGTCTCTTTAGAAGTGCATTCTAGACCCCCTACAGTCTTATTTCAGATTATCGTCAATGCCCCTATAAACTATCGACCTCAAGGGGTTAGATAAGAAAATTTCGCAATTAATTTCATCATTCAACTGTGATGTGTTGTGTGTCATCTAAGAAACTTATTTTTCATAAGAAATATTTATTGATCACATGTATAAAATTTCATTTCAAAAATATTCAAATTTAATAATTTTATATTCTTAAAATATTGATTTATCTTAAAGATATTTATTAATACTATTCGATTCAAGGGAAGTAACTTACATATATATAAACACACACGTGCATATATAATTCTCATAAAGTAGACAAATTTATAATAATAATAATAATAATAATAATAATAATAATAATAATCTAAACCTTATATATAAAATATAAAACCAATACTAACCAAATTCAATGGAAATAACATACATTCATACAAACACACACATACACACACACACAAACCATATATTATTTAAAATTAGAGAAATTAATAATAATAATTGAAATCTTATAAAAAATTAAACAAATATACAAGAATGGGAAATAAATTAGTCATAAAACAAAAAATTAATCCGCAAAAGGGAAAAGTTATAAATAGAATATAATAGGAAAGAAGAAACAAATCAGGATAAAAGAATCAATTATAATGAAACGTTGATCTATAGAAATAATCTATAATTACGTGCCGGTTTTCTCATGGCTATTAGGAAGATCGTTAGAGTGATAATTTAATTCAAGGTTTAAGAAAAATGTAAAAATAAATCGTTAATATGTCATAAATTTTATCAACCCGTTTTTTTTTATGTACTCACTTGTTGATCGTTCATTTTGCATATCGTAATGGTATATAATATACTTGCATATAAATATCTGTGTGTGTGTGTACTATATGTAGATATATCTCTAATTACACGAAAGGAAAAAATAAATATAGTTATGTTATGATCGATTTCTTAGCCTAGATATATAAAACAAAGGTTAAGCCTACATGAAATGTAATAGTAGATTATCTTGATCTATGATTGAAGGTCATTTATTTTTATAATATTAATGTGAATGCGAACAAATCTTTTATTTTAAGTTACGAGATATAACGAAAGAGAAATCATTATTGAAATCTTAAATCGTGTATCATTTATCACGTGTGTGGTTTCTTTAGTCGCGTGTTACCATTTATATATATATATATATATATATATATATATATATTATACACACATATATAAATACATATGTTAATACGTATGGAAAGAGAGAGAGAGAGAGAGAGAGAAAGAGAGGAGAGAGAGATACCTACCCACCACGTGTTATGGGTATTACGTATTTTCTCTCTTCTTTTATATTTTCTTAAATATAATTAATGGTCAAATACTTTAAATATAAAAAACATTAGAATGTTTCTTAATACAACAATATGTTATCATATAAATATAAATTTAAAAAAATTTATTTATATAAAGAAGAAGGCAATGAAAATAATAAGAATATATTAATACATACATATGTACGTGTGTGAGAAATTCGGTAGTTCTGCTTTTTTTTCTTATACGTTTATAGTACTATAAACTCGTATAATAATCGATCGTATAGTATATTAATCGACACGATATGATGAAATAAAATACAATCCACTCTGTTCGCGTACCAAACGACAAATGAGCTCGTAAACCAATGGTTACTTACATCTTACTTCTTAACACTGAACTAATTTTTTCTTTGACTATTATCTTTTATTTTCTGGTCCGCGCACACAAACACAAATACGGTTAGAACTTGAATGTGAGAAGCACACTGGACTTGTTCCTCTTATGAATTCTTATTCCACTATATTTCTCTAGACAAGAGAATGATAGACTGACTGATGATGATGATGAAGAAGAAGAAGAAGAAGAAGAAGAAGAAGAAGAAGAAGAATTGAAGAAGACGAAAACGATCACGCCATGAAACCGGTTCGTTCGCTTCCGTATACAATTTACCCCAAAGAAGTGGTAAGCTTGGGATTTTATAATTCCTCCTCCTCTTCCTTTGTTCTTTTTACTTCCCCTACCCTTAATTCCACCAATTCTTTTCGTTTTCTACCACCATTATTTTTGTTATCCTTCTTTAGGTATACTTTAGATATTGTTTCTATTTACATTTAATTAGTTAGATACATTTATAAATAGATACATTAAATGGAAAGTTATTTTCTATTTATTTATCTGTTTATTTATCTTTTATTCATTACCAAATTATTTAGGATTGGTCGTTTGTTCATGCACGTGTTCTTCACATATATACTTTTATTTATATATACTTGTACATAATTTTTATTTATCTATCTATTTAATTTTTACTTATTCAATACGAAATGTATTGAGATCGTTTGTGCACGTTACCTGATTATTCAGTTCAAAATTTTGTTAAATGTTTCTTTTTATTCTGGCTAGAAACTTTTATAAAATTACTGATTAAAACTTTGACTTCATTACCGAGATTAAATTAACTCTTTCGATTCAATTATTTCGAACATCGCTTTGCTTAATAATATTATTGTAAACAATTAATTTTTGTTTTTTTCCTCTTCTTCTTCTTTTCCTTCTTCTACTAATGTTTGTAAAGATTCTATTTCATCTTGAATGATTCATATATTGCTTAATGATGTTTGAATATTTGTAGTGTTGTTGTTGTTTGTGAACTGCTTATCGATATTTCTTTTCATTTGTTCATCATTGTTTATTCCAAAGATTCCATTGAAATTTAAACGGAAATTTCACGTTAAAGATCATTCTAATTGTCAAGAGACAGTAATCATACTTTGTATTATATTCAAAGAATTTTATCTTAATTACCTATTGAATTTAATGATCCCTAAATAAGAGACAATGTGAGAAAATATAGGAGTGGCCATTTTGAAATTTTATTTTACCGCGTTAAAATAATTTTCTAATATGTCTGTCACAATCGTCCTATTTAAAAAAAGATTATAAATATATATTCTTCTAATCTCGATAACTACGTTCACGATTCATCGATCGCGTAATATCGATTAAATATTTATCGACGAAGAGAACGAAGAGAAGATATGGAAGTGGTCATCTTGAATTTCATACTTTATCGCGTTAAAATAATTTAAAAAAGAAAAGAAAAAAAAGATGTATCTAAACATATATATTTTTCCAATCTCGATTAACTTGTTTACGATTTTTCGATTGCGTAATATCGATTGTGTATAAATTTTCGAATAATTCTATAACGCAAAAAAAAGACAATTAGAAAGTATTAATATTACATATGAGACAAAAAATCTTATTTTGTATTAAACGCGCGAATAAATTTTTATGTCGTCACGTTAGATTACGTTATTTAGATTGTAATAATTGAGTAATCGGCACGAGGGTTAGGGGGGGGGGAAGAGTAATTACGATAATGCTACAGCATCACGATCGAGAGATCAACCGGCGTTACCAGAATATTCCACGCGAAACAAAATAATAAAACACATGATTTATATAAGTATATATGTTACTACACAAACAGTTTATTAGTTATATTATTTTTCCCCCACTATCATCTGATTTAATTCCTTTTTACTCCTTGATCTGTGACGCGGACCGGCATTCATATCGTTGAACGTGATTAGAGTAAGCTGGTTAACAACATGACTGGTGAGTCGTCATTCTTATTTCTTTTTTTTTTTTTTTTTTTTATTTAAAAAATCTTTTTAATTTATATTTATGAGAGGACATTGTTGCATTAAGATACGTTCTATTGTTTTTTTATACAAAAGTAGTTTGTTATCGNTTAGTTATATTATTTTTCCCCCACTATCATCTGATTTAATTCCTTTTTACTCCTTGATCTGTGACGCGGACCGGCATTCATATCGTTGAACGTGACTAGATATCGCTGAGATTCGTGTTCAATGGTGTCTCATCAATTTTTTTTTTTTTTTTTTTTTTTTTTTATATTTAAAAAATCTTTTTAATTTATATTTATGAGAGGACATTGTTGCATTAAGATACGTTCTATTGTTTTTTTATACAAAAGTAGTTTGTTATCGATCATATTGTATATTAAAATCGTATTATTCGAATGATGACCTATTTCAATTAGGTTCATGCGTGGTAAATCTAACCAATAGATACAATTCTTGACAAATATTAAAGATTATTGATTATTTGTAAATCATGAACGAATTTAATGATTTTTTTAAATCTATAATATCAATTATATTATTTCTGTTATAGAAAATACAACTTTGGTTTAATAATTATATTATTTTTTTTATGAAGAATGATTGAAAAATTAATTTTTTGTTATATGTCATTTTACAGACTATAAATTAGGTAAATTGATCATCGAAGGTAAGACCAAAAAGGTCTATGAGATTTTAAATGAGCCAATGTTATGTTACATTCAAAGTAAAGATCGAATTACGGCTGGAGATGGTGTTAAGGCTCATAATTTAGAAGGTAAAGGCGTTATTAGTACAGTTACAACGGCTAAAGTATTTCAATTATTAAATGAAGCCGGTATCAAAACATCCTTTGTCAAGCTTGACAGTAGTAAAAATGCTTTTATAGCACATAAATGTGAAATGGTACCCATTGAATGGGTCACAAGAAGATTAGCCACCGGTAGTTTTTTGAAAAGACATCCAGGTAAATAATTGTTTATTCTGATGAAATTACTTTTGTTAAAATATAAGAAAAATCATTTAAAAGATAAACAAATATTCTGCTTGTAATATAGGTGTAGAAGAGGGATACAGATTTAATCCACCATTGCAAGAAACATTTTATAAGGACGATGCCAATCATGATCCTCAATGGTCGGAAGAACAAATTATTTCTGCTAATTTCACCTTAAATGGAATTACCATTGGCAAAGACGAGGTTGATATTATGCAACGCATTACATTGACTGTTTTTGAAATCCTAGAAAGAACTTGGGCAACACGAGATTGCTCTCTTATAGATATGAAAATAGAGTTTGGCATAGATATGTCTGGTAATATCGTTGTTTCTGATGTTATTGACAGTGATTCCTGGAGATTATGGCCATCTGGTGATAAGCGATTGATGAAAGATAAACAAGTAATTACTAACTTTCTTTTTTATTATCATTTTACAAATTATAATGTATTATATATCCCATTATGTTTTTATTTGTATATATATATGTGTGTCTACACAGGTATACAGAAATTTATCTCATGTCACTAAAGCTGATTTGGATTTAATTAAATGTAATTTCGAATGGGTAGCAGCTCAACTGGATCATCTCATTTTATCTCCGATATCATTGGTTGTTATTTTAATGGGTTCTCCATCGGACAAAGAACATTGCGAGAAAATAGCTTACTATGCGAAGAAACTAGGTTTAATAGTGGAACTTAGAGTTTGCAGTGCACACAAAAGTACTCTGGAAACTCTGCGTGTTCTTGCTGAATATGAAGGTAGCGGGAGAAAGGTATTGAAATAAATTAAATTATACATAGAATATGGATGAATGAAAAAATACTGTAGATATTTTTACGTGTTAACTATAGCTCGATAAATTTATAACATTGTCTTTGTGTAACGAAATTTAACAACAAATTAATAGTTTTATGAATCGTTTGGAATATAATTAAAATACTTGCAATATTTATTGTAACATTGAAATTATAATTAGTTGCCAGTGGAATGTTTAATCATGGATACGAATCTGTTAAATTTTAATGACCTATGTCAGTCTACTAAAGACTTTTACTCAAAGATAATTCCATTTAAAAACATGATAAAAAACCGATAATTATGTCGAATGCATATTGTTTACTTCTTAGATATCAGAAGTTCTTCTTATTTAATATAGGTGGTGTTTATTGCTGTAGCAGGGAGAAGTAATGGATTAGGTCCAGTATTGTCTGGAAATACTACTTTTCCAGTCATTAATTGTCCTCCTTTTAAACCAGAGAATATCTCGCAAGATATATGGTCATCCATAAATGTACCTTCAGGTATGTAAATACATTTCTTATGAAATTATTATTTTTATGTAAATTATATATAAATGTGTTAGTAAAAACAATATAGATATGAATACGTTATTGTTAATGTAATGGATTGCGAAATTTGCTTATCAAGGTGGTAATTATAGAATATGTAAATGTAACTTATTGAATACTTTGGATTAGTATATACACAATTAACAAACTTATTGTAGTATATTTAATTAATTAATGTTTTGTTTTTGCTTCTTTAAATCATACTTGCAGGACTTGGTTGCACTACAGTCGCTTATCCAGAAAGTGCTGCACTTGCTGCTGCTCAGATACACTCACTTCATGATCATATGATTTGGTCTAAGTTACGTGCAAAACAACTTAATAATTTTATTACTTTGAAAGAAGCCGACAAGAAGCTAAAAGGTCTTTAAATTTCTATTAATTAATGAAAGTTAAATGGATTAATAGATTTTTCTGAATTACTTCTGTGAAAGAAGATAAATGCATTTAAATGGTTTAAGAAAAGTTAATTTCAAACATTTCCATTTAGAATTGTAGTATACAATACTATAAAATCTACTCACCGATTTTTTTATCTATAAAATATATATGTATATACATAATAGGAATGTTTTTTTCTATTATTTCGGCAATTTGTATGCTATAAAGTATCATTAAATTTTATTAATTATATTTATATATATACATATTCATGTTAGCACTTCTTGTATATACATTATTATTATTAATCTTATTGTTGTTATACTGGATACAAGTTTACAATATTCATTTGCTTCCGCTTAAACAAATTTTTGAATAGAACAGTAAATTAGCAGTAAAAATATTGTAACGTTTAATCCAAGATATTCTTATAGATTTATATGCATACAAAATTAAAAATTTATTTTTTCTAAATACATAAAATCCTAACATTTATTAATTAGGATCAATAAAAATGAGACAAGTAATTTATCTCCTTTCCATAAATGTTCCTTTTTATACAATTTATTTATATGTCGAAGTAATTATTAACAGATTTAATTATAAAGTTAATTTTAATCAACATTGATTTTCACTTGCAAGAGTTTCTATTTCATTAATTTCTTTTGGACAATTTCTTGATAATACTAAAGGTCCGTTTTCTCTAATTAAAACATCGTCTTCAATTCGTATTCCTAACCCATGAAAATTTGATGGCGCCAAGGGATTTTTAGGACTAATATATACACCTGAAAAAATATATATGTTAAATTATATATATATATATACATGTATATCTACTGTCATATTATTTACCAGGTTCGATAGTTATAATCATTCCAGGTTGTATCGGAACATTGGTAGATATTTTGGCAGTATCATGTACATCCATTCCTAAATAGTGGCTAACGTGATGCGGACAATAACTAAACGCAGCTGATTTTAATTTATCTCCAGATAAACTTTTAGGTATTAAGCCTATTTCTTGTAATCTTTTACTTAGGAGCAAACACATGTCGTGAAATAATTGATCTAACGTTGGCATTTCTTTCACTTTTTTCAATAATTCTTTTTGTACATCTAATACAATTTCGTATAAAATTCTTTGCTCTGGTATGAATTTACCATTGATAGGCCATGTTCTTGTAATATCAGACGTATAACCGTGATATTGACAACCTATAATAGATATTAAATTACAAATCAAATATCTCTGAAGAATAGAAAATTATTAAAACTATAATTATTCACCTGCATCCATTAATACCATATCTTCGTTTTGAATAATTTGATTGTTGGAAATATAATGAATAATATTAGCATTGTTTCCTCCAGCTACAACAGGTGGATAAGCTAAAAATTCAGCACCATTTATACGACACTCGTAATCGACTATCGCAAATAGTTGATGTTCGCTCATTCCTGGTCTGGAAGCTTGAATAGTTTTTTTTATTGCCATAGAAGCTATATCACAACTTTTTTGCATCAAATTGATTTCGCTTCGCGATTTGATGGAACGTACTTTATGAAACAAACTTTTTGGAGAGATAAATTTTTGAGTATTATTTATTTTAATTAATTCATTTAACTTAGTGTGCAGTTCAGTTTGAAGTATATTACTATCATCGTACCAAATAATACTATTTTTATGTTCGTTAATAAAACAACAAAAAAATCTCTCAAATTCTGTGACAGGAAGCGCTTTATTAACTCCGAACAAATCAGGAGCTGCTTCTACTCCAGTTCTTGGTCCTTCCCATAACTCAGAATGTTGATCCTTCTGATTCATAAATAAAATAGATGTAAAAGTATCTCCTACAGAAGTAATAACTAATATCGTGTTAGGTTCTTTGCAACCACAGAAATATAGAAAGTCTGTATTCTGACGAAAGACATATGGGATTTTGTCAGACATGTATACTTTAGAAGATGACGGTATTATTACAAATTGTGATTTACATCGGTCATTTGTATTAGTGTTCTGTATAATATTCTCAATTAATTTAGATCTCCTTTGTTTGTATTCATCACTATGTATACCAGGAGTAATCTCTCCGTCTTTTAAAAGATGAGGATGAGACATCGAAGTCGGTTGTCCATATTTTTGATGAAAAACTTTTTTCACGCATTCTTGATTTGGTAAATTACTTCTCAACCTTTTCACACACCGTACATTCAAATTATTATTTTGTCTACCTAAAAGAATAATTATTATTAAATTAAGTAGAAGAATTTGGAAAGAAAATCAATGTGAAGAATAATTGTTTTATTATGTATGAAAAGATATTTGAAAACTATGATCTACCATCTTATTTTTCTTTTTAATAATATTGGATATTACTTCTCACCAAATTTAACGATTAAATTTTTAACAATTTCTCTCGATGTGCCGAACATAATTTTTTTTACTATTTTCGTTATTTTTTTGTTGTTTTTTTTTATTTTCTCACTGCATAGAGCATTAATTTATTATTTGGTATGTGCATTCAGAATACATAAATGACGAAACTTACGAAATGTACTACCAGATAGTGTCTCGATCACTTCGAGTACTTTGCATAATAATAAGTAAAAATAATGATATCTAATGTTTATCTTTTAGATAGTAGATATTTAAATAATAGATAATTATTATTATTTTTATCTTTTTACAATTTTTGTTTCTCTATGAATTTAATAGGAAAGACATTGATTTGCAAAGAATCAGACAAATAATTGTAACCATCGAAAGTGTCAAAACAATTCTATAATTATTATTTTTATTAAATAATGATTACATTCGATTAATTCGTCTAATAAAACCATACAAACAAATATTAACGTGAACACAATCAATGTATTTCATTATTTTTAACTGATTTATTAATAATTCCGATTCTCTGTTCCAAGTAATTATTATACAAATTCGCCAGATGACGAATAGATTGAAATGTTGATAAGGAAGATAGCAACTGACGGTAAAAAAGATTAGACAATAATTATTCAAACGATAAAAAACAAAAAAACTCAGCATAGAATCGCAACAGCAGAAAAAAATGAATAAGTGAATAAATGATGAATTAGTTCATTATTCAGTGCATGATTTTTAATTTCGGTTAAAAAAGATTCCGTAATTAATTATTAGATATATAACCTAGAAACTTTATTTTGTAGATTATGCATAATTAAGCGTATAAAGAAAATTGAACGAATTAATTTTTACTTTAATAATATATTTGATACTTCGTATATTTTATAGTACACCAATTTATGTGTAATTACGAAGTTATGCAGATGACCAGGTTTTTAATACGCTGTAAATATAAACTTTGTTTTTCTTTTTTATTTGAAAATAGAATTTGTAATCGTGTATTAATGAGTTTCATACACAAAAGATTATTTAATTAATAAGCTACTAAAATATTATATTATAAATATTTAACGATAAGTATGTCAAAAAAGTATTTAAAAAAATATGCTTTTATTTAATTAATATTGTAAAGCCTTTGTGTGTGAGTAATTTCCTTATATTAATACTTTAAGATATTATTTATCCTACATGTATATTCTTTAACATATTTACATAGAATATTTCAAATAAAACGGAATACTTAATATATTAATACTTTTTCCTCTCTTTAACGAAGAATGTTATGAAGTTTCTTTTTTATTCTTATGCGCCCAAGCTGGACTGTGTGGTTCGGTTAAAGGTTTAGTAGATTTAATACGGCAGAGCGGTTTATATACTGGCATTGGTTTTGCTTTCACCTTTGTCTGCTTGCGAAGCATAGCCACTTGTAATTTTTCCTTGGCTAATTGTTCAGCTTTTTCTTGTTCACGTTGTTTCTCTTGCATAGCAAGTTTTTGTTTAATTTTTTCATCAAATTCTTGCCTTTGTTTTCCTCTCTCATAAGAATTCATTCCAATTTTCATAATTTTTGGTCTGATATTTCCTTTTTGATCTAGATTGATCTCACTTGTCATAGAAGCATCGATATCAGATTGTCTATCCTCTTGTTTTGTAGAGTTTTCATCTAATTTTAATAATTTTTTTTCATGTACATTTACGTTCGTGATTTTCTTACTAGTCGATGAACATGCTGGTAAATATAATTTTGTCTTGCTTGTATCTTTTTTATTCTGATGATTTTCAATAGTTTTGTTATCGCCTTTATCAAGCTGTGATTGTTTCAATTTAAACTGTTCCTTCAATTTATCACGACTTTCAAAACTGAAAGGTATAGGACGTGTAATTTTTCTTGGTTTGGAATCTATGGGAATATCGAAGAATAGGATTTTTTCTTTCTTAATGACAAGTTCTGAACTGCTACTGTTTACAAATGTAGAAACATTTTTATTTTGAGATACCTTTTTTGTAGAAACAGTTAAACAAGATCTTCTTGACTTAGCGTCTCCAACCGTGGAAGGAGTATTTTTATCATTAGATACTTTTTTTGTAGAAGTAACTATACAAGACCTTCTTGACTTAGCGTCTCCAACCGTGGAAGGAGTATTTTTATTATTAGATGCTTTTTCTGTAGAAGTAACTATACAAGACCTTCTTGACTTAGTATCTCCAATCGTAGAAAGAGTATTTTTATCGTTAGATGCTTTTTTTGTAGAAGTAACTATACAAGATCTTCTTGACTTAGCATCTCCTACCATGGAAGGAGTATTTTTATCTTTAGATGCTGTTTTTATAGAAGTAATCACAGAAGATCTCCTCGACTTATAATTTGCAACTGTGGAAAGAGCATTTTTATCCTGAGATACTTTATTAGCGGAACTAGATTTTGGCGTTATTATTTTAGATTCTTTTGATGTAATGTTTTTATTCACAGGTATTTGGAATGAGTTGCCCGAGAAAACGTGTTTACCAGATTTTAATTTCAATTGGTTTTCTTTCGACACGTCTAGCTTAGATTCTTTTCGTTCTTTTATGCTTCTAGTATGAAATCGTTCCGGAGTTTTATTCTGAAACGTAAGAACAGCTGCTGCTAAACTGATATATTTATTTGAATTTCTACGAATTTTAAGACTCTGTCTTCTACATTGAAAACTTAATCTTCTCGACTGTTTCTTACTGTTGTTGCTTTCCATCGATAACTTAGATTGATTTTTCTCGCAAGGCGTATCGATATTTAATAATTTTGGGGAATTATTAGAATCTAATTTTTGATCATGCTCATCAAGCATGAATAAATTTATTGGCGATATATCGATATTAGGCAAATTTTTTTGCGGTGTCATGTAAATTCCGCGTTCAGAAGATGATAATATTTTTATTTTTTCATCAGATAATTTTTCTGTTTGTTTGTTGGATGGGCAGTTAACTTGATTATTATCTTGAGATTTTATCGACATTGGCTTTTTGAATACGCTTGATGGTGTTATTACAAAATTTTGTAAGGCTTCTCTAGCTTCTTGCATGACATCGTTGTATGTTACTTTTTTAACAAGTTTACATTTACTACTACCCTGAGTCGAAGAGGAAGAACTACATATTACTTTTATCGGTGTATTCTTGATAATATCTAATTCCGTTTCTAATTTTGTATTAACATTTGGTGTACATTCCGATTGCATGGATTCCTTAGTTTCCTTGGTAATTACTTCAGTAGTTTCTTTAACAATTTCTTCAACAATTTCTTCAGCAATTTCATCAGTAATTTTTTCGGTAATCATAGATTCCTTAGTTTCTTCAACAATTTCTTCTGACAAACATTCTTTTTCATCACATAATATTACTTCGACTTTTGGTATTTCTATGGATTCTTTAGATTTTTCAATTCCATGATCTTTGTTAAAATAATCATCTGATGGCTCTTCTAAATTAGATGTAAAATCTACGTATTGGGGTGAACAATAATTATCCATGATAAGAATCTTTTATGCAGCTATTGTAGTTATATCAAGTAATCTTTAATTATGTTATCTAGAAAATGCAAAGAATGAAATCAAATAATTATCTTACAAAATAAGGATATATTAATTAATTTATAACAAATATCTACAGTATATATCAAAGAAAATAAACATCTATATATAGTTCAAGATTTTTAAATGAAAATTTCTTTACTTTGATAAATGACATTTTAATTTTAATTACGTATAACATATTCTTTTACCTACCAGTAATGAGTTTTTTTAATTATAAGTAACACGAGATAAAATAAATTAGTAAAACATTATTAATAAAATTATCAGTAATATTTATATTTAATTTATTTGATACTCTCTCTCTTTTTTATTTGAACTTACACGACATATTACTTTTAACGGATAAATTCATAATTTGCACAAACACTGCTGGTAACAACTCAATTGTGAATAAAATACTTCGAGTTGGCGCCATTTTTTGATACTAGATTAAAGTCCCTACTGGCATCATATACGGTTTTCTATTGGTCGATTCCATGCAGATTAAATATATGTTTATTTATATAATTATCTACACGAATATTTAATTTATTAAAAAAATATGTAATATAAATCAATCGGTGAAATCGATTAAATTGTATTTTGATATTAACCAATAAATAAACCTAATAAACACCCGAATTAATATTATATAAATAGTTATTGATTCGTACGTAAGATGACGCAAAGGTAACATTCGAGAAACATGAACTCCCTCTGCGTTGCGTTTATGCAGCGGTTCATACAATTTCAAATCGAAAGGATTCCAAAAGTAAACAGTGTGAAAGACGAGTGAAATTTTTTGTTTGACGTATTGAAAGAAGGAAGAAGAAATTTAGAATTATTGAAGAAATATAAGATGTCTACAGTTTCTTTCGACAAACTTATAGCTATAGGACGTAAACTCGACGAAGGTATTAGAGAGTTAGAAGAAGAGTGGCGTTTGCCAGGTACTTTTATCGGTGGCTATGCAGATGTTACAGAACAAACGAAGCATAATATAAAAGAATTGGTAAAATCTATTCAGGACTCGCAGGTAAAAATGATTGCATTTTTCCATATGTGTAATCAAAACATTAATTTAATAAGTATGCAAATTTATTATACAAGTAATTGTCAATTTGTATGCAAGTATAATATAAGATATCAGAGATACATACAATATAAGATAATATATTTATAAGATATTTTATTCTTAAATTAATGAACGTTTAAATAATTTATTACAAGGATGATATAAATAAAATGATCGAAGATTGTAAGATATCTAAGGCAGATCCAACAAATGATTCAGAGGATATTTTTCTTAAGGAAACGCAAAATGTATATAACGTGATAAAAAAAGATGTAGATAATTTAGAAACCGTATTTAAAGAATTTGGATATCATTACAATAAAAATAATGACAGTGAAGCTACTGAAACTTTGTATGAATTTAAATTTAATCACAATGATATTACTTTTACCAATTGTATATATTATTATAGATTATTTTGATTTATAATAGAGAATTGAAAGAAATTGATACGAAGAATGATTCTAATGACTTAGACAATACAGTAGAAGTTGTTTTTACTCCTGATTTGGGTTGGCGTAAAAAGAAATCTATCGACAAGACATCCTTGTTGGTGAGTGGAAATTCAGGATTGTTAGAGGAAAGTGAAATACTGAAGATGACAGCCAGTATAAATTTGTATGTATAAACAACTTAAATTCAATGATAATTAATAATCTTATTATTCCATCAAAATAAGAATTTTAGTTGAACTTTACGATGCAAGTTGTTATCAAAATCTTTTTAATACACAGAGAATCTAAGGAAAAGGAAAGAGCATACGATACAGATGATAGAATATTATTGTCCGCAAAAAAGTCAGAAGAAAGTTTACAAATGTGTAGCGTTGGGTTAACACCGTTAAGAAACAGACCGCAGTGTCAGATTTATTCAAAACATTTTTACAACTTAAAAAAGAAAAAAGTTAACGAATGAATAAATTTAATAAATGTGTCTTAGGGAAATTGGATAGGTTGAAAACTTTTTTTAGAACATTTGTTTTGATCTCATTGAACGTTTCGTCTCTTTATCGGGATTTCTTCAGCAACTGATAATTTTATTATGACATTTTTTGAAAAATACATATTATAAACATTACAAGAAGGTTCTTTAATATTACCTTGATCATTAATGTTCTGAATCTTTTTTATAAATTCTTCCGAAGACATACATTATTATATTTTTTTCAAAACAAACTGTATTTCACATTCGCTAATCGTTAATTCTAAAT